ACAAATCGTACAGCTGTTCAATAACATTGAACTATATTTAACGTTGCATATTACTAAAATACTTGTTCTTTAAAGTCCTTGATCTATTATAAAAATAGTACCGCATTTTTAGTTCATTATCAGTCTAATCCCTAGCCAGATGCCATTTTTATATAAATAGAATGCATAAGTACAAAATGGAAGAGTTAATTATATTTGATTCTTTTAAACCAAATTTGATCTTTTAGATATAATTTTAACGGAACGATATTTGCTAAGTTAAACATAAAATTTTACAATAATTTTATATCCTAATTTATATCCTAAACAGAATTGAAAAACTCATTCAAATCATATTAATCAAACTTTGACGCGTTTGAAAAAGGATTTGGTTTGTTTGTTTTTAACGTGAATTCATCATTAACATTTTCCATGTTCCTCATATTAAAACAGCATTGTATGAAATAATTCTTATCTTTGTTATATGACTAAAATAAAAAAAAGTGGCGGTATCACTTAGTTTTATTATTTAATTCAAATCTTGCTCTTGGTATTAAACAGCTTCATACTTTCACTTTCTATTAGGCCTTGAAATGATGGTAAGGACCTAATATAATTCGGAAAATCCTGATTGCTAAAATAAGGGAGGTGCTAATAATACATCTTTTATATGAAATAGAAATTTTTAAATAGACTACAATAGAAAAGAATTTATTACATTGAGTAATTATCTTATAATGCTATGTCATTGCAGTACTATAATTTAGTCATTAGCTAATACGCATTTAGTCATATATTAGTAGACGTCCACAAATTAAATTATGCATAAACAAGCAAATACATTTTGGAAGTTATATATATTATATAAATAATTACAATTCTTTACTGAAACCATAAGATTCATAAGGGATTTGTCGTGTCTGCTTTATGCATTAATGTATCGAAGGCGGAAAATAAGAAATCCATCCAACCAGAGAAATAATTCTTTCTGTCTGTGGTAAGTTGTCTGAATTCATTTCGAACTTCCGTTTAATTGACATGCGATCTCTCAAATCAACGACGGAATACATTTTGGTTTAAATCCACATAATAAAACTGTATAATAGCTAAACAAAATATTTGTAGAAACACGCAAAAATTCTAGAATTACTATAAAATCCCGAAAACTTAGGAAGATATGCTTGCCAATTTTCATGCTGACAGATCAGCGTTTACGAAGATGAGCTCGACTGTGAACAAACAACTGTGCAAAAATCAACGCTAAAATATAAATATAATAATAAAATTCCTGATACATATTGTACTTCATCGAAGGATATATGACTTATAATGTGATGAAGACTGAGTCGGCAAAAGTGGTTAAAAATTTAATTTCCCAAAATCATTGGCTACGATATAAATAAATCTATAAAAATAGATAATTAACACTAAAAAAAATGTGTAACAATAACATGATCTCTAAAATACGCCCAACAAATGTCGAATAATTGAAAATTTAAACCTGAGCTAACTCCTAAAAGATTTCGAAAATTCGACTCACAAATAAAAAAGTCTACAAACTAAATAAAACAAGAGTATTTCTTGCATTCAATAGCGGGGAGCATTTTAGGTTACATCACACTAGTTAAAAACATACGCCTAAGCGGCATCTTAGAGAGATTTCAGAAAACGAAGATTTTTTTGGGTTGTGACTACAACACGGCCATTTTCAAAAGCATTTCTTCAAGGAGAGGGCTGTTAAGGGTTAACACCTATGAACACTTACAATCAACTTCTGTAACCTTTCATAAAGCTGACTTCTTATAAGACTGCCTTTTCTGCATATTTCTTGACATGAAAGCGTGACTGGCTGTTACCTAACATATTTAGATACTTTTATCTACCTCTGCAGCAAATTGCATCCTGTTCAATTCTGATTGGCTTCCGGATATTAGCATTTTCCTCTCCGTGCTTAACTTTTGGAAGTGAGTGTATAACGGTTACGCACTTCTAATCCATGATTCCAATGTTATAGTAATATCTGTTTAAGGTATATGATCCCCCTCCCCTTGGCGCTTGCGTTTGTCTTGCAGCTAGAAGTTCATTAGACTAGGAATAGAAAGGTCTTTAGTTTGAATACTGTTAAGAATATCGTTGATTTTTCATGTTTCCTGCTCCAAAATACACTTAATTGTTCTACAAGTGATGCCTGAATTAAAATTTGGTAGACACTAATTAGTCACCACCTACAGTGACACCTGCCTGCCATATATGGCTAATAACTGGAGGTCCAAAGCTTGAATCCCGGCGAGGATATCACTGATATTTCTTGTTACCTTATAAAGTATTTCTTCTGCCTTCTTGGTGTGGTGGTCTGCATGCTGAGCGTGTATTCCAGATGTCTGCCGTTCGATTCCGGGTGAAGGCGTTGCTAATTTTTCATCTTGTCTGCTTCCAAAAAATCCTAATGTATCTACGGTGGCGCCCGAACTCAAAGGGTGTGGGATGATGAATTTCCTCACCCAAGATTGGGTCTCCTAAAAACCCCAGTCAACCTTTAAAAGAGGGAGTATATAAAGTATTTCTCAGGCGTTCTTGAAGGCAAATATTTTTTTACAGAAATAATCTTCATAATATTCCCTATGCAAAATCATCTGCTGGTATAAAATATCTTAGGTAGTTATATTTATATACGCATTTATTTTGACCGTTGCGTCAACATAACACCAGCGGCTAATGGGTCAATCTTCTAATTTGATCCAGCTTATTATTTTTTTTTTTGCAGACTGTTATTATTACAATAATTTTATGAAAATTAAGCTTAAACTTTCGATTATGTCAAAAAGAGTTTCTAATTTTGGAGCTACCAAAGCATCTACAAGGAGAAAGCAAGTTTCAATGTCTATTAAACAAAAAGTGGAATTGCTGCAAAAAATGGATAAAGGCATCATTATTTACTAATGCGAGGAGTAAGGCATCGAAAAGTCAACTTTATATAACATAAGAAAAAGATTTTTTTTTGTGGATTCTGACACCCCTCTAGCAATGAATAACAGAAGATCGTCACTTTTATCATAACAAACAATTGATGACAGCGAGGGCGTGCCATTGACAGGTCCAATGCTAAATGGCTCAAGCCAAAATATTTCATGAAGAAATGCTTGGCATAATTTAGGGCCAGCTACCATATTTGATGGTGAACATGATGAAGATGACAGCTGCGAATTTAAAGGTTTTTGGATATCACAAACTAAAGGTGAAATTTTACAGCTAATCGATTTTATAAATAAATTTGGAGAAGGAGTAATAAATGAAGATGATATAACAGAAGCTTTTCATTGCAATGACAATTCCCCAATCATCAATCAAATCACAAACAGCGAAATCTGTAGTATGGTTCTAATCCAGAAAATCCTGCAACCAATAGTGAAGAAAACAACAGAGAGGTTACTGAAAACGAAAAAATTTCGATAGACAAGTTAGTCAGTATTCTCAACACAGTAGTTACAGGACTTGAAAAGTGGACCTTTGTAACTGAACAAAAAATTGTGTCTGTTTATAGAATTATAGAGAAAGTATTAGCAAAAAACAAAGCAACTTAAAAAACTTACATTGAAAGAAATGTTTAATAAAGTACACAGCTTTTTTTTTGGTAAATTTTGATACCTTTAGATCATAACTGTTCTTTATTTCATAAATTACGGTTTCATATTTTTAATTGTATAATTTCTGCATGCCATTTTACTAGATTTAAATTGATGATGCAATATCCAGAAAAATTGCAAATCCGGAATCGCCGCAGTCCTGATGAGTCCGGATCTCGGACTTTGTACCATATATTCAAAATGTTTTCTGGAAACGTGATCAAGGATGAGTAAAGGAATGCACACTTTTCAACGATCACATGCACTGAATCAGTGTTTCTACCTGATTGCATCATCAGCCATGGCAGAAACCCAACCTCAAGCTGGAGATTTCCAGTTATTTCTTCTCACAGGCAGCTCTAAATTGATATGACATTCGATTCTTCACAGATTCGAAGAACTCGAGATCATCACAGTTAGGCAGGCCATTCCCCAGGAAGCGCTCGAACATGCTTTTCACAACATGCAAACTTGTGACACATATAGAGTTGGCATGCTTATTGACACTATCTAAATTTTAAAAACTACTTAATGTGCATTACTAACACTAATATCAAGTGATGGTTCCTGTAAAGTACATGAACAGCTTCATAAAATGACTTTTCATATGGCACAATTCACATAAAAGCATAAAATGAAAAGCAGACTAAGGAAAAATACTGCACAAATATGAGTGTGGAGGGATATTGCTGTCCTCACACATTCGAAGAGCTCCAGAATGATATCAGCATAGCTATTCGGGGATATTGTCATCCGCGGGATATTGTCATCCACGCTTTTCAGAACATGCGGACTTGTCTGCACACGTGCTTCAAGATAAATGGATGGCACTTCCTTCCAGGTTCTTGTCCCATTGGACAACATTTACTCAATCACTTATTCTTTTCATAAATATTCTGCAATGCCTCTTTTAAAAACCACATCTAATACATATATTTTACAGAATGAAAGAAATTCTGCCTCAATACTGGGTGAAATGAGATGAATTTTAAAGCATTGGCAAAAGGAAGAATTCACACTTCTTAGGCTCATATCACACGGTGTTTGTTTCACACGAACAACTGTTTCGGACAATTTTTCTGCCTGGTTTACTACTGAAAGAAAGATGCGCGACTTTTTCCTTCCTTTCCAAAAAAATTGCAGGTTGTTCGCTTTCAACCAATCAGCTATCAGCTTCGAATGCTATCAGCTTGTTTGTAATGGGGAACCAGTTTCCCCTGCATTAACCCAAAGCGATCTGTGTTGATTGGCTGTTGTGACAAAGTAGAAAAATCGTTCCAAACAGTTGTTCTTCCGAAACAAACTGACGTGTGATAGCAGCCTTAAACACCAGTTTATGACTTCACTAACAGAAAACTGCTCTAAGCAATGCAAGAATGATGTGTTATTCCATAAGAATTATTCTTTAAATGCAGATTTATTTAATTTATTTGTACCAACCTGAGGATCATCATCAGCTATTGGAGTGGTATTAGTCTGTGTCTTCAATAATAAATCCATTACCTCACTAGCATCAGCAAGAAACTAAAAAAGAAAATTTTTAGAAATTATACAAATATACAATTAATAATCAAAGTGCTCAAAATATTTTTTTTTCCAAGAATAACCTAAGCCTGAAATTTTCTTTCTTTTTTTTTTTTTTAAATTACATTTTAAGCTCCATTACATTTTGACATTCTACACTACTGCATTGTCTAATTGAAAATATATTCTAAACATTTTGAAGTCAGCATTATATTTCTTCTCGAATTCTTTACCGACATCTGTTAATAATATATGCCCTGTGAAAATATGGAAACATTCCCCTGAAAAACTACACTACTTTTTACACTAAGAACATTTTTTAGCAATGCAAGGTTCTTTTGTTTCTTACCTTCTGTGCTGTAAGCTAGTTCATCCAAAGTTCAACAGACCACGCTCACTGGATCCCCACCAAAAAACCAGTTTTAAAAGTAGTTTATTATTGTTTATCTTAATTAAATTTTTAACTATGCAAGTTAAAATTATGGTATTTTTGTGAATGGGAACTAATGTAGCACAAAAATTGTTTAAAAAATAATGAAAAATTTCAATGGAAGGAACATTAAACTGCAATGTTCTATACAAATTTAGGAAAAGGATAATCAGCTAAACTTTTCAGCAAACTGGAGATGGCGATTTACTTTAGACAGAAATGGTTACCATTACGGATGCCAGTACTCCATGACTATAAAAACAAACTTTTAATGTCTCACTTCCTCAAAACTTAATTCTTAATAACCTCCTTTTAACCAGAAGCTTTACACAGATAACTTTTAAAGCTTCACTAACACAAAGCTTTCAAACAGCCCTAAATTTTTGCTTTCTTAAAACTCAGGAAGAATTTTTTCTGACAACTTAGTTTTAAGTTTGACAAATGCTGATGGAAAGGGAAGCACTGACACAAACCACCTAAGACCACAGTTATATGTAATACATACCTTTTCTTTTCCAACAGCTAGTCCTATTAGGCTAACACATTCTATAGTTTTCCCTCTAAGTACACGAAAATCTGGTTGGATAGCATTTTGGATAATAAATTTTAAGTATGGCATAAACCTATAATATAAACAAAGAAAGAAACTTTTATTGATGATATTAGCTTTTTTTATTTAAAAAAAGTTCTTCTACAACACTGCTTAATAAAAGTTTAAAAAAGTGCTTTAAAAGTTAAGTTAAATAAATACCCATAAACCACATTGCTAAAGTATATCAAGCACACTTCCTAAAAACAAACTTAAAATAGTTAGATTCTGAAATAGCACTTAGTTCACTAAGAAAAAATTTCAAATATTCAATCTATTATGTATCAAAATGACCAATACCTTTTACAGAAGCTATTTAAACAAAATTGGAGAAGCATAATTCTATCTTGACCTGGGAAAAACCAATTACGTAGAAGAGAAAGTCCTATTCGCTACTGAAACTGCAGTGATGTTTAAACTGAATTTCACCCTTAAATTGCTTATTTAGACCACACAGATAAGAGGCTTATTTCAAAGTGGTAAATCTGTTTTCCCTTCTCTTAAAAATAAACTGTTACGACTTTTTAAGTTTAAACCTGATCGGTTTAATGTTTACTCTTTCATTCTTTATTCTTATCCCATTTAAACTAATAAGTACACTTACTAAAACCTATGCTAACACTTTACCTTTTGCTTGAAGTAATTCCTTCAATAATGGCATGAATAATATTTTCCTTACCAATCGTCAAATATGAAAAATCAGAAAATTCTTAAAAGGAATAAAATGGGTTTTTCTGGAGGATTTTTCATGCTTAGAGCGGTGCCATTAAAAAAGAAGTCTTAATTAACTTAAATTCAGTTTACATTCATGATTCAAGTTAAAGAAAGCTTTTATTTATCATGGAACATTTAGATGACTGAAATGAAAATAAAAGCAATAATTAATATGATCATCGAAAATAAAAGCAATAATTAATGTGATCATCGACGACCGATGCTGAATTAGCAAATACCCAGCGAGCTGAGGTCATGTGACATGAACATACTGCAGAGGCAGACAACTACAAGAATAAGTGGCAAACAGTTTTTCCTACGATGCTAAGTTCGTTGTAGCCAAGCTGATCATGTTGTCTATAGCTAGTTATAGAAGGCAGACATGCCTTGTAAATGTTTATATCAAGAACTGATAATGTGTGAGAAATATCATTACATGAACCTTGTTTGGACTTTAAGTGCGAGGTTACCCCCTGTAATATTCACTTTCATCTAATTCATCTTTTCATTCATTTTATTTCATATTAGTAAAATAAAGTAGTTAGTTTAAGTCTTGCTCTACTATGTTCTTATTGAGGGCAATCTTACATTAATGTACAACTTTTGTGTGGACAAACGTAGCAGTGAACCACACATTAGTAAGCAGTGTCAAGTTGAAGTGCAAGCTTTATGATGAGTAGGGCAACCATTAAATGACTGCAGCTTTACTGCATCATTTTCCACATTCATGTTTAGGTGTGTAGGTTTTCCCATATTTTTTCCACTTCAAATATTCTTAGTAATTATTGTACTCTTTAAATTAGAGCTTTTTGCTTATTTTTTTTTTTATTTCCGTAGGTTTTCAAAAGCTGTTTTCTTCAAATATTAATCATTCTAATTTCATTTTTGCACAGGACTACCTACAGTTATATATATAACATTTGGGCAAAGTTCCAGGCTACCTAACCAAATTAAGTTGCTAAATTTGTTTAGTTGAATAAAAGGAGCACTAAATTTAAAGCACACAAGAAGTACTAAGTTTTTCTGTAAAAAAAATATCTGCCTTACATATAAATTACCCATTTGAAAGATTTACAGTAATAAAGCTTTGAAAACGTCCTGAAAGTACTGAAATTTGTTACGTAGAGACGTACAATTAAAAAACAAACACTGACATCAAAAGAAATTAGAATTAAAAAATACATCATACCTTTCATAATAATTAGTAAATCTTTCTTCAACAGTATCAGCCAGAGATGCCAGTGTGACTACTAGTTGTTCTAGAACTAATTTTGTGCCTTTTTCAACTAACTACATTAATAAAATGAAAACATGATTATGAAATATAATTAAAGGGAAATAAACAAAATGAAATGAAAATTTCAGTGCATTTCATTGCCATTCAGAGGTTTCCACAGCAAATTTTCACTTTAAAGTTTTATTTTAATATTCAAGTAACCTGCATCACTCTGCTTAACAGTGAAGCAAAAACTTGAATCACCAAAATGTTTTAATATGCATGTTTAAATCTACAAAAAATGGATAAGCAAAATAAATGGCTCAGTTTATGTCGATATACTCAATTAGCAACTACAGTTAATAAATTAAAATTTAATAAAATTACTGTAAATATACAAATGCAAAACATTGATGAGAGTAACAGTACTACTTAGGACGATACTCAAGCATTCCTAGATAGAAGACAAGTGATTTAAAAGTATAAACTGCACATTGCATCCAAAACTGCTTCAAATAGCCCAAAACGGAAATCAAAAGCTTGTATTAAATTAAAAATCTAATTAAAAGCATTTGGCTTTCACAAAATATTTTTTTTTTTTTTTTTTTTTAAATCTTTGAGAAACTATATACCATTTATAATCACCTTTCACGCCATGCGCAACTCAAAAGTCTTTGTTGCACAGAACAGAAGTGCACAATTTATGGAAACTTCAGACGTTTTAATGCATGGGAATTCAGTACAACATGAATCCTTAAAATTTTGGCTTGATTATTTTAGCCCCATATTCTGAAAGCACGTCATTCTTTAACGTGAAAAACCTTCAGTTCAATCATATCACAGGAAACCTACCACGTCTTCTTGACACAATGTAAACAAATGGGGACTGCATGGTGAACAACCTCTACACGGCAGGGTCTGTTACTACAAAGAAGGGTCACAATTTCTTGAACTACAATTGGTTTACTGTTCAAAATCTGTAATTTAACATCAATACATGTGATGAGACTTTCTGCCAATCATCAGAGGAAGAAGTTAAATCTGTTTTGCATACGATTTCCCTTGGTTCCCCTTTTTCAGTAAAATCTGTAATTTTTAATGCTTTGAGTAGCACCATTTTTTGAATGAAGGCCTGTATTTAAACAGCATTTATTAGCCAAATTTGTATCATTAATTATTTTAGTCTGTTAACATAAACGTCTAAGATCACTACACACAGTAAGAAAACAAAATATTTTAAATTAGAAGCTAATATATATTAAGGACTAAAAAAAATATGACTGAATAAATGAGGTCATGACAGACAGTGGTCAAGGAATTTCCATAGAAACAGAGAATCCTTGGTATTTGGAGTCCATGCATATCCCATGGTACTGTGATTAAACTGATTAAATCAAAATCACTGCTCATTTTGCTGCAACTAGTTATTTAGAGACAAACTTATTCTGGTAATAAATGTTGTTAAAAGTAAATGACTTCACTTTCTACACCAGAAGCCTGTTGCATGTCAGTGGATGATTTGGGTCTAAATTTAATTTGATTCTTCTGTATAATGCTGAAAATCCTTTCAATTCGTGCATTGTAGTCGACTATCAACTCAAGATTTTGAAATTTGCTGTTACATCGATTTGAGGAGCAGCAAGAATTTTCTCATCAAAATCAGTGAATTGCAATTTCTAACTGGTCATTAAACAGACATGTTTTTTAACAATGAAATCACATACTTTAATACAAGAAAATGAAACTTAAAAAAAAAAAAAAAAAAAAAAAAAAAAAATCCCCTACTTCTGAAATTTATTGTTGACGGGCATTTTCTTGAGGATACAGCAAGCTTTGTTATATTCCCTTACATTAGAATAAAGTTGGCATATCTGTGAAGCTGTCCTTTTCCAGAATGCAGATTCTAGTCTTAGCAACAATATCCAGATTAGGATCATCTAATAATTTGGCATTTTCTGTACAGTTTTTGCCATATCTGTAATCCCATAATATACAGTAGAATTCAGTAATAATTAAGGAAAATTCATAACACTTAATATTTCCATTAGTATCCGAGAGACAGCTGTCTAATATTTAAACACACAGTTCAGTAGCATGTAATTAAAATCTTCTAAAAGGTTTCTTTAAAAAAAATCAAAACGGAAAACAGAATTTAGACACTTTCGTGTTCATATCATCCAGCCAATGTATCAATTCACCAAAGATCTTTCAAGGGGAACTACTCACCTCTGTGAAAGGGTATGGTAGAAATACAACCGTCTAAACTAATGCAAAGTTATAAATGCATATTTTCAATAAGCTTCATTTCTTTGTATAAATAAGTATCAAACATTTTTAAATAAAAACCAGAATAGAAATAAACTATGACGTTTTCATTTTAGAAGAAAGGAAAAGGTACTGCTACTTACATCATCTAGCTTTTTTTTTAGAATTACTCCAATTCTACCACAAATACTATCCATATACAAAACTAGTATATTCTTGGGACAGTCTTCAAAAAAGTTAACTAGAGCTGCACCTGCATGAGCTTGAACTCGAGGGCACGTGTTGTCAGCAATTGATTGAAGCAATGCAGGAATAACCTGAATGAAATTGGCAAATTATACATCACAAATTTAAATACACAAGTAATGGTAAACTTCAGAGCAATTAATTAATTACCTTTACATGGAATTTTTTTTGGAATACTGGAGCAAAATCTGAAGCCATTTGACCAAACGCATTGCAAGTTGCATATCGTACTCTATAATTCTGGAAGAAAATTTAACACTTGAGTAACTAAATACTTGAAATGAAAAATAATTCAGTGCAAATAAAATATGAACTGCACTATAAGAATGTAAAATTCCACATTAAGAGATAAACATTTAATACATGTTCTGAGTAAAAACTTTAAAACAGGATGATAAAGGTCCGGTTAAAGAACCACCCAGTAGCTGTTTGCCAAGACAAAATTTCAGGTCCAAAATTGCAGAAAATTAACTAATTAGAATATTATGGCTATAATACATATCGTTACTCTTCACAATTTTCACCAAGAGTACCTGGGGCATTATCTGTTCAAGAGGAATTTCAATAGTGATTCAGCTTACCAAATGCTTAAAGACTTAATATCTTCTGAAGACAGTTTATCAGTTAGTAATATCAAAAATTCAAATATGTAGTCGATGACGGCAATCACTTTGCTCAACAAGGCTCCTTTTTCATGCATTCAATTAAGCCTTCAATGCGAATGAAGTAAGTCATTTCAACTGCACTAATATAGACTATATTTAGGATCAGATGAAATTACTGTACAAAATGGGTAGGGGTATTTAATCCAAAAATATCAAATTACAGTTTAGCACCTTAAAAAAGTTCACCTTTGAAATTTAAAAAAAAAATACAAATAAAGAACTTAGAAACACAGTTATGAACTAACTACATAACCAATAAATTATTTATTAATTACAATGCTGCTTTAAATGTTTACAAAGATTATCTGTCAAAATGCTACTGCTCTTGTTCTGAATTGTCTAGTTTAAAATCAAGCTGTAATTAATTCCCATTGCTCCTTAATTTGATTACGGCAAAACACTGGAGTACACTCTGCCTACAGGACACGATATATTCTTTTGAAGTAGTAATATGCTTCACAATAGAACATATAGTATTTCTTAGTTTATATTAAATATGATAGGTAGTGGTTGAATATGGTAAAGCAGGAGGTAGGATATGTTATGAAGGGAACTGGCTTGTATTCCCATTGTACATGGTGGTAACTACCAAAATGCCCATAAAGTCAGCTTGTTCACTAGGATACGAACTGAGGTCAAGCTATCAGTATTCAGCAGCCACGATGTGATTGAAAAAAAGACTTGAATCTGCAGCAGCAATAACAAATGCAAGTGAACAGGTAAATGCAGGGCTAGACACCCGGATGATTTTTTAATGACAAATCAGGTATTGTGCAGTACTCGCAACTATCTAGTTGAGCCACACCTTCTACTGATATTCACACTATACATATATTCAAAACTTTTGCTGCATTCATCTCTAGACTATGCAGGTTGTATAAGATATTTTAAACTGCACCATCTATACTAGTTAATTAATCATTGCTGAATGAAAGTATTTCTAAATGGAAAAATGAAAAAAAAAAAAAAATATGGAATAAAGCAAAAACAATCTTCATTTTCCAGTAAGATTGTTAAAAGTAAAATAAATAAATCAATCTAGGACCTGTCTGTTAGCCGAAAATGGCCAATTTGGTGATGGAATAAAGAGTAACCAATTTTTACCAATTTTTTCAACAAACAAAGCTGATTAATGAAAAATTTCATTCTCTTGTAAAAAGTTATTAAAAGTAAGCTCCTCATTAAAAAAAGACAGTAAGCTCTGAATTTTTATGCCTAAAAAAATTAATTAATTTTATATTTAGATAAATGCTTGTTTCATGATAAATTTTAAATCTTTGATTAACTTTCTTTACATTTTAATAAAGTTACAGAAACTTTTGATTTAATTTCAGCATTTAAATGTCTCCATTTCCCCAGATCACATTAGCAATTAAACATTTGCGATGAATTTATACACAAGTCCCTAAAAACCAAAAGTAAAAACTAAATATTGGTTCAAATCATTTATATACTTTTTGTCAAATATCAAAGATAATATTAAGAAATCAAGGGAAAGAAGATTTCAACTAAGCCCAATGGTCAAATAAACACAAAATTCGACAAAATTCGAATTCTACGTGTAGGTTAGTACATAAAATATGCAAATTAAGCTACTGACAATGGACTGTGCAACGGATGCATGTTAACATTCAGATGAGTAATGTTATCGAAAATTAATAAGATGTCTCAGTGATCAGTATTCATCAATTATGACTCTAAAGCATCATTTACACTGAATTCCAAAAGTGTCGATTAATTGGTAGTCTCAAAAGGACGGCAAACACAAATACGGGTATGAATATCCCTCGATGTGCCGCATAAAGAACTTGGATCTATCTTTTGATAAGCAGCATAATTTATATGTCTCACTAAATCAAAAACCAAATTAAAACCGCATTATGCATTTTAAAATGAGTCAGTATTTTAAAATGGGCAATAGTTACAACATCAAACATTTCAATTTCCTTTTGAGGAAATTTAGTAACAAATGAATTAATATTTCAATACAGAATAAAAAAATGTGTGCTGTCTAATTTAAAAAAATGCAAATAAACTGAAACAGTATCTCACTTATTTGCATATCTTGATCTACAGCACAAGATATCGTTAAGTGCTCAAATTAGCATTCTTCACACTTTGTAGGAAAAAAATATACTTAGTTAATTTGCTAAAATTAGATAAATAAAATTTAAGTTTTAATCTTAGTTGTTATAATAGTCTCTGATAAAATGCAGAAAATACATATTTCACATGAATAAGTAGAGGCAAACTCAGGTTATTTTTTTCCACCATGTAAGTTATAACACTACCAGTGTAGTGAAAGTAGAAAGCTTAAAAACATGAAATTTAATAAAGCAGCACTTAGTAGCACAATTTAGCAAAAAAAAAAAAAAAAAAATTATACAATGAACAGAACAAGCTTTATTCGCAGTATAATGCACAGTTTCTTAAAAACAAGCTCTTTTTAGCAGTTTAGCTCTAAGCTTTAGTTTTGTATCAGCATTTTGTTAAAAAATCACCTTTTTTTAAATATTTTACTGCAACCTGGCACCGCACAAGAAAAATTTGGAGCAAATGGGATAGTAATCAAACACTGGAGAACTGTGCTGCTCCCTGGTAAATCTATATTGCTTTTGAAATGCTCAGCTAATTAATCAGTAACACATACAGTTTAAAAGAAAAACTGAAGATCTTATAACTTGCTGACAGACAACACTCTGAGGGTGGGCATATGGAAAATAAAGGTCTTAAATTTTGTACAGAAACAATCTTCTCAGGTTAAAAAGAGAATAAAAGCTTCCCTACATTCTTCTTCGTGTATCAGTTTCTAAGATATGGTCTATTGTCTTCAGACTATGGTTATATTCTGACAGAATATGAATTTACCTGAAAATAATACATTGCTTTTGAGATGCAAAAGGAAATTGTAAGAGGAAACAGTGTAACAGACCAGAACTTTAGACCAGCACCCAAAACATCCTCCTTCTTTCAAGAGAATAATTATAAGACTTTGCTCATAACACTAAACTGGATCATACAGGCTTTACAGTTTAAAATTAATATAATTTGAAGAGAGCTGATGACAAAATCTGTTTATAACATTTAAAATACTACATAAACTTCAATTTTCAATGTATGATCACAACTGATTTTTCAAAACAGGGTACTGAAATGGGAATTATATGATAAAAAATATTTTGAGAGGTTTTTATCAACAATAGTACTATGTAACTTATGTGATTGTAACTTGTTAAGCACATTAATATAATAAAAACATTTTGCTTAAACCAATATTCATGAGTTGCACTGTTTGAATTTCAAATTAAAATATTAATACTTCACAAGCGTTCATTTCTTAAGTTCCTTTATTTATCAAGCAAAATGTAGAAATGAATTCAACTGTACCAAATATGTGTTAATAGGAACAGTAATTCTTATACCTTAGGTGAAAGCAAATGCACATTTTAGAATTTCTTTTCCATAATTTTTTATATTTCTTGAACATAAAATAAAAAATGTGAGTATGAGAAATAAGCATTTGTTTTCAGCGATTTAAATGAAATATTTACTTTTGATAGATCCCAGATTCTACATACAAATACAATTCTTCAAGGAGGATAGCTTACTATTTTTGTTAATAAACCTTAACATAATGGTACTTGCAAATAAATTTGCCCTAAAATGCTCAAGCCAGGCCATAGCATCATATTCTCCTCCAAAAAAGAAGAAAATCTCTCAATTACCTTGAGCACAATAACTTAAAGAGGTAAATAATGTGGCACTAGTTTATACACTTGATTGCATAATTATCTCTCCCCAGAACATCTTTGAAATTTAATCTCTTGCATACATATTTATAAAAGTGCTGTTGCAAAAAAGGATATATACCAAATAAAGCACTGAGATACAGGCATGATATTCAGCACCCAAATGTTGCTCAAATTATGCAAATCTTTCAAATTTCAGAGCCAATCATGTTATATGGCTCATTCAATATGAACAAGAGGAGCACAATACATAGCATTTATAACTGATGTTCTCACCCATAGACAATTTTAAGTGGATCAAATTGTATGAAAGATACTCAAGAGATATATTTGATTGCACTACGAATACTTATCTGGTTTTGAATTAATTCACAGAATAGGCTGAGGAGAAGCAGGCTCATCCAAAAATTGTACCAGCTGTCACCCTTGTTGGAGGCTAACAGTAATTTTTCAGTGTTGGTAATAAAATAGATTAGAAAAAGCATATGTAAAAGATACAGACACAAAACTGCTGCAAAGGATGACACCATTAAAAATGCAACAACTGCAATAACAGCCTTACTATCATGTATTCATAGGCATTATACATGCAACCCACAATATCAAGGGTCAAAAGGAAGAAGCTGAGATTGGGTCTTAACATTTATTGAAAATCTTACTGCTGATTTTAAAGCACATAGAGAGCCATATGAATTGGTGTCGAATTATCATCTTGAACAGTGTAAAACTGGAGGCATAATTTAAGATAAAAATTCTAATCCTCTGTAACAATGACTGCCAACTTCATAAAACATAAAAATCAAAAGCTTTGAAAATGATCAGAAAAAAATATCTGCAAGCTTTCAGATTTTGGATTAAGCCCTAAAGAGTATTCAAATACTATACGTCTTATACACTAAAAATATTTAAAAACAGCATACCTTTAGAATTTCCATCCAACAGTCTTGAGAGCTGACGATAAATGCATTTTATTTCACACAGTGTGTTGCCACTGTTTGCTTTTAAATTGTTGAATTTCTAAATCAGAAATTTGTTAAAGCTTAAAGAGTATTAAAAAGATAATAAAACAAATTCAAGATTTGGGCTTCCAGGTGTCTGTGTTCAGGTGAAGGAATATCTTATTCAAAATTTGATGGCTCTAGGTATTTTTTTTAACAATGCAAGATTGAAAATTGATACAGCCATTTATAGCAATTCAACACAAAATGCGTTTTGAGACAAAGAGCTCTTCTGAACTAAAAATTTAAAGTAAATTTCACAAATAAACTGACACACACCTGCATATTCTAAAACATTAGTAATCTAAAATAATAATACAGGAGGAAACATTTATAATGATATTGCAAAAATTCATTAAAAAGTCTGCATAAAATTTGCAACTCACTGAAGCAGACTTTTATACACCAACCGATCAAAATCAAAGTACTGATAAGTCGAAAAACTGAGGGATAAACAGCAAAAGAATTTGTGTTCTGGGAGAGCTGAATAGAAATTTCTGTTAAAAGTATGAGCTTAAAACACATATAGCTAAAGCGGCTCAATTTTTTGCATTCTTTCAAATAATGCAAAAATTAAAATCATTAAACTAAAATAATTTTCATAAATATTAAAGCTGACAGATTTCTGCAAAACATTTTGTTGCCTATGCTGTCAAGCCACCTGGGAATCATGAAAGTCAATAATACTTATTGCATGATTTTTCTAATAACCTCTCTGAAGATTTAATACCCTTGCAAAGCCATCCAATGCCTCAATGTCTGTTAGAAGAACATATTAAGGAGTCCTCACAATGTACATTCAGAACTATTCTGAGAGAATACAACTAAATAAACCAACTAGTTAAGAAATTTGCACCAGATTCTTCTAGACAGGGCCAAAAACAGCCTGACTAATTTTATGCTACATAGAATATTAGCTTGTACAGCTGCCAGGGAAAGAATTTACCACTTACTAAAATTTAATCTTGTTATTGCCATCATTTTATGAAAAAATTATTTTTTACTCCAAAATTCTAACCATTTACATACCTCTTTAAATGACACATAGCTCAATTTTGTAACAGTAGCTGGTTTTATTATGGACACGCTTCTTTAACAAGAGAATGCAAAATCAAAATCTAATTTTTTATGTTATATTATAAATAAAATTTATAATATATTACTAAATTATATAATAATATATTATAAATTTTATTTATAATATAACATAAAAAATTATACTTACTACGTACATATTTGCATGTATATACTTCATTTTTTTGGATTAACAATAAAGCTTACAATATCAAGAAGAAATGGAAGAAGACCATCAACAATCTGAGGCAGTAGAGCAGACATCTGTGTATGGCATCCTTCACCAATAGCAGAAATGATCATCATACCTGCATATCTTTCTTTCCAAGAATCTGAGAAAGAATAATTTAATTTTGTAACCTTGAAGAACAAATTAGACTTGAATTTAAAGCAAAATTATGCTGAGTTAATATAAAGTACATTTTCCATTTTTATCTACTGGCACTAGAGCAAACAAGTTCACAAAGAAAAAATGCAAATAACTTGACATACAATTTTTATAATTTAAAATGCTAGGAGAGACATAACTAATTATGATAAAATACATAGGGTTAATGCCTACATACAATACACTATATAAGAACTTAGCTCTGCTTAAGGATATACATAAGGAATGTCGAGAAAAACACAGCTACGCACTTCTGTGACAGGAATTCAATTCAAAATGAATCTGTAATTAACAGCTTTTAACTATGTTTGAAGGCCCACTAGCAGTCAATCAAGAAAGTAACATTGACAGTTCTGACATGAGTTTGATTTCAGGTGAATGGGCTGGCTGCATGGATGTTTCCATGGTTTTCCCCATGTGTACCATGCATATGAACCAGTTTCTCTTACAATGTTCTCCATGAAGAGATATATAGCCCTAGTGTGCTTTGCTGCAACCTTAAAAATGCAAGCCTAAACATGTTTTAAATTATGACAACTCTGAAAGAAGTATCCAGCGATTTACAACAGAACATCATTACATTTTTTGCCATTTCATCGTTTCTGGCCAAATCCACAGACTTTAGAAATAACATTTCAAACAAATGCATATCTTTTGGGCAGATTAAAGTATGAGTTTCTGCAGTCACTCATAACAAATATGATTAACTGTGATTTAACATTTTATTCTTTTTCTTAGTGAATTTTTAAAATCCACTTATCTTTCAGAAAGGTTTATAAATATTACAATTAAAAAATAATAATGTTGGATAACGTGTGTATTGGATTTCTCTCCCTGAAGGCATTACTCTGCTTAGGGAAATAACAAATAACCCATGTGGTTTGTGGCATTTGATTAAATAAATAAAACATTGTAAAATTAAAACTATATTTCAGAATAATTTTATTGCCTTAAAAATATTAATAATCCTTTTTCCTCTTCTCTCAACTTGCATAAAAGGTAAATTGTATGAAAACAAAGAATTTAGCAGTATTAAATAAGTTAAGATATCTGAATTTGGCAAAGAACCGAAAGGTTATCTGCCTAAGAAAAGTGATGCCACATTCATGGAGGACTTTTTAAGGAAAACAGGCTCTCTTAAGGCAAACAATGACAATGATTAAACTTGACAAACAACGTCAATGACTAAACTTAAAGCAAAACAATGAAAACCAAACATGTAACCAGCCTGCTGGCCTGGGCTTAAACGACCCTTATTTGGCAGCCTTTAACTTCTCGACTAGTGGTTAGTATTAAATAATTAAAATAAATGCATTATAACCTGAATGTGGTTTTTGATTTGAACGATATATTAGAAAATTCTTACATTTTAGAATATATTTCAAAACAAGCTTCTGCGAACAGAAAAGAAATAATAAGTGATTTAAGGAATAATGCACAACTTTGATTTTAATTTTTGTTAATTGTTAACAAATAAAATAGGATTCTTCTTCAATGCCTGTTCAATGCAATTCAATAACACTTGTCAAAACACAACCTTCAGTTTAAAATTACTTTGAGTACATGGAAATTAAAAGCACTCATTCTGTTTAAAAAGAATTCCTCATTGTTACAGCATTGGAGTATTGTATAAAAAGAAAATATATGCATTTATACCTATAATTATGATGCAATTAAATTTTCTTTTGGTCCCAAACAAGTATATACTGCTCAAAGATAAATGACAATGTTTGGACTATCGAAGGGTTTTCATTACTTCAAATCCAAAGCATGAGAGAAACTAGATAGAGTCTCTCTTCTTTCTTCTTGGAAAAAATTGACCTCCATATAGACATACGAGGTGAACACAAAAGATTCCTTGATTTTAAAATGTAATTTAATAATTTAATGAAATTTAGCTCAAATTCAATTAACTCAAAATATTTTCATATCTTTTGTTTCAGAATTGCTATTTGTGACTAGCAGCTACAAGGCAGCAACATACTCTATCGCAAAGAAGATAAGGTATGATAAACTTGCTAAAACTGGCAGAGATGTGATTTGAAAGATAACCTGCCTAACCAACAGGATTAGTTGGACCCAATGATCATCATTCTAGAAAGCAGCCGACACGAAGGCCAGACATACTCTCGTCTGACTTTTATGTTTGAACGTTTATGAAGGGCAAGGTCTATGTATCATTACCATCAACCCTGAATGACCTTGGGGTAGCATCCACACAGTTATCAACTACAGTACAAAGTCCGTAATACGGACTCGTCGGGACTTCAGCGATTCCAGATTAGGGTTTTTTCCGGATTATAGATCATCAATTTAAATCTTGTAAGACGGCATGCAGAAATGATACAATTAAAAATATGAAATTGTAATTTATGAAATAAAGAACAATTATGATCTAAATGTATCAAAATTTACAAAAAAAGCTTAATATTTATTTGTTTACTTTATTAAACATTTATTTCAATGTAAGTTGTTTAAGATGCTTCCACAAAAAATTCAAAAATTTCCTTTTTCTTGTGTCATATATAGTAGACTTTCCAACGCCATACTTCTCGCATAATTTTGAGACGGACGGACCTTTATCCATTTTTTGTAGTAATTCCACTTTTTGTTTAATGGACATCAAAACACGCTATCGCTTTGTATATCCTTTGGCAGGTCCAGAATTGGAAACTCTTTTTGACATAATCGAAAGTTCAAGCTTAATTTTTATAAAATTGTTCTAACAGTCTGCAAAAAATAATAAGCCAGATCCAATTAGAAGATTAAGGAACAGCGCAATCTGCAACATTAACTGAATTGCCTTAGATAATTTTAGCCTAGCTTATACCATCCGTTATACATTAAACGTGCATGCGTAAACGCATCATGCACATCAAGTTTGTAGCTTTGAGGTCCAGATTATAGATCATTCCGGATTAAAGACTTTGCACTGTACATCAGATCTAGATATGCTCCAGAATGTGTTGCTTGAGCTAGATTTCCATCTTGAGGCCTGCCGCATAACTGGTGGTGCATGCAAAAGTTTTTGTGATTCTAATCAATACCACCAGAAATTCTAAATTTACTTAACTACTGATAAAATTTGGGAAGAATAGTTCATTCAGTATTAACCCTTTGCGGTTGGATTAAAGTTGAAGATGGGTACCATACTGGTTGGAATTATTTTCCGTCGATAGTGCAGGGATACATAACATGCATGTTTACGATGGATAAACAAGATTTAGTAATTCTTTTGTGAACTTTAGATATATCTTTAATCAATACACTAATCTAGTAATATGTTTTTGCATAAAAATTGTTTTATAATTCTCCATGTGATATTTTTCAAAACACTCTCCAACATGCAAGCCAGATTTTGGAGTGCATGTATTGCAAAAATAATTGGTTTGGTGCCTTCCACCCTTAATCTTTCTGTTTGAACATAATCTTTACTTTTTACATTTTCAAATGCCGCAATATATGCAGTTTTCCATTAAGTCTTTCTTCCTTATCGGAGGCCGATGGTCTTCCCTGGTTTTGAATCTGCTCCGTCACAAAAATCACCTACCAGTTGTGCCACCAATTTTTGGACGAACATAAAATGTGGCATAGGTGTCCTGTTCTTTCTTCTAGCTGAATTTTTGGGAATTATTTTGGAATATTTTAAAAAGAGATAATGTCTAATTAATGTTAAATACAATTTATAAAATATTCTTTGGAATTCTACAAGTTACCATCGAACATTGTCGATTTCATTACGTTAAAAAAAAAAAAAACGATTGACTCGCCACTGCGTCTTGCACCGCGAGCACTGGGTCACAACTTTTGTTTAGATTAGATTACATAATCTCCAATTGATGGAGCACCATATTGGTTTGTGAATAGGTTCTTTAGGCATTGAGGTTCGTATAGGAAAAGTGTAAACTGATACATGAATGCATACATATACAATTCATATATAGTTCCTTGCTGTGGTGGCCGCGAGCAGACATATGACGGCAAAGGATTAAAGTTATGTTCTTTTAGAATAAAAGACTATTTTTGTGCTCACCTGAGTAATGAAACACATACATACTGTTCTTTATTCGTTTTGTTGGGGGATACAAAGATATTTTTCAACATAGTTTCAATGGCATTGCTGAGTTGATATGAAACCACATTGAATTTATCAATCAAGTCAAATCTGGCACAAGAATATCTATGTTTAGTGGTTTTTAACAGTTTGACCACTTTTCAGCAGTATGAAAAATGATACTATATTAAAAAAACATTAGAGCTTTCAGAAACAAGACATCAAAAATTTGCATAAAAATATGGGAGACAAAATTATCTTGATGTCAAATGGTTAAATTGAAAAGTATAACTTCCATCTTATTTTTAACAATATTTCATAAAAAGATTTTCTTAAATTTACTCTCCAAAATCTTAAAATATGGCCTTCTTAATGGTTTCAAGATTCATGCAGTTTACAGTTACCATTAATTTCATGTGCAAAAGTTATGAGTTGCTTAAACTACTAAACGTATAAAATATGAATTTTGTTATGATAAATTAACAGCAATGATAAATTTTTGTTTCGCTGAACAATTTGTTCCTCATCATCACTATCTTACAAAAATATGAAATGATTATTCAATGCTCATAAGTAATGGTATACCTACATTTAAAAGGGGAATTCAGTAGGTACCATTCATTGTTCACAGCCAGCATCATAGTAATCAGATTTGTCAAACAATTAAAAAAAATTTCTTCACAATTAACTAATGTAATCTTTCAGTAGAAAAAACACACACACACACACACATATATATAAATACTCACATTTTTCTTCTACATCAATGAACAGTTCATAATATTTCCAGAAATCATTTGACAGATGCTGTAACTCTGATCTCTAAACTTAAATCTCCCTCACTTCAAAGGCATCCTCATCGTAACATTTTTGAAAATTCACCAATTGCATCAACTTCCTCTGAATTTATCACGATATGCAAGAATTTGTTTCAGAAAGCAGTTGGTAGATATCTCCATCTGTCAATAATACTGCAACTTAAACCCCCCCACACACACACCACACTGAATTTGTCACAATCTATGTCTGTTGGACACACAGATTTTCCTTCTTCAGCTTCTATTCCAGAGCAAGTGCAGTACATTAAGAAAGTAAGTAAAAGGAATCTTAATATTTACCTCATATTTTCTTCAGCTAATAAATTCCTGATCACATGGTTTGAATTATGCCTATGGTATTTGCTGGAAAATATACAACTTCAATATGCTGAACCCAGTCAATTACATTGTACACTTTGCAGTTGTCAATAAGGAGGAGGACATCATTCTTCAAGTCCTTTATCCCATTTTAGAAGACAATCTAAATATTACTGACGTAATCCGCACTTTTGAATTATAGCTATAGACCACTGGCAAACTCTTTTTCTAGTTTATCAGGGATTCCCTCCTTTTCTGAGTACAAAAAGTTTTTCTTTTTTCCAAACATTGTGACATAGCATAAGATGGTCACATGATCTTTCAATATTCTACACACATCTCAACTTTTAGCTTTCAAATAAATGCATATATTAAGGCAAAGAATGATAATATAGATCTGTTTTGTCTGTATTACAAATATTTTCAGAATAGCAATTTTACAGATAATTTGGGCTATTCATTTGAAGACCATGGTCACTGCAGTAAATACAACAGCATATTTACTTGATCATCAGACTTTAACCTACGCTTTATACTTTCACCTACTTTAACCTAAGCTTGTCAGTAGTAAACGTGCAAGCATTTTTAGAACTTTGAAAATATGAATATTAGGCATATTTTTTTCAGTTAAATGCTAATTCTTAATTAACCATTAAATGTAATTAATTTAATACTCCGTAAGTATAAAAAACTGAATAACTAAAAATACTTCTTATAAGTTATATGCATATTTAATTCGAAATTTTCAGTTTTATTACTCAAATCACTAACTCTGCTAATATATTCTCGAGCAAACATTTTAAATCACAAATAATCATTGATGAAATAAGAATCCATACACCTTCAAGGTTTTTAGACTTCATTTCTATAGGAAAATAATATTTTTTTAATTAAATTCCAAATAAAGATGAAAAATATACATATAATTAACATTTATAAATTAGGAATGCAAAATTCATAGGTAGCATGGTATACAAGCTTAAGTTCTGAATTAGATTCACTCCCCACAACATATTTCTTCACTTGCACACATGTTTACGTCTCCAATGGAAATGGCTTCAAGAGTTTTTGTACCTAAATTTGGTTTAAATACAGTCCAATTCTTTTCCCTTAAATAATTTTAAAATTTCTTTCACATAATGTGTGTAATTGGAAGTCTTTGTTGATAGTGGAAAGTGTATGGATTTAGAAAAACTTCAGATGCTTTAATGTATTAAAATTTTACAGAATTCGAGTCTTGATACAATTTTAGCCTCTTATTTTGAGACAGCATAATTCATGAACTTAAAAACTTCCAGTTTAATCACAACTCGAAAGAAGCACATCCCGTGTTTTCTCACCATAACTTAACCAAACATGAATTGCTGGGTAAAATCCCTCACTGCAGGATGTTTGAAAGGAAAGATCAGACTTTGCTAAACTACAACTGGTGACTCTTCAAAATCAGCAAGACCACCATCTTAACACGCGACACATATGTCACGATCATTTCGCCAATCATTGGGGGTAATAAGGCAGTTCAACTTTGCATACCATTTTCTTTGCCCCCCTTTCAATATTTTCCATAGCTTATAGCTTTTCGGTAATTTCCATAGAAACTATAGAAAATCTGCAGCAATTGCGGTCCCTGCATCTTTAATACATTTGAAAACAATCCTTTTTCTTCCACTGGATAAACGTATTATCTTTTGCTGCAAAATTATCTTTCTCCATTTTCATCATTAATTCTTCAATTTTTGCAGCATCAATGAACTACAGACTGTAATATCTTCCTGACAAACTTTTAATTTTCATTTTACTCTAATTTGCAAACAATACCTTCGTTATTCTTTAAAATATTGTCTAAGAAGGACTACGAAGCTTTAACTCATAGCTGACTCACTTTTGGGAACTGATGACAGAGGTCTAATGCAGTGCTCCGCAACCTTTTCTCACCTGTGACGCACAAATCTTTCTGGAATTTCGTGTCTCACCAAAGAGTTCTGAGTTATCAAGGAAGTGCCGAAAAAATTCCAATGCTCACACACAATCACACAACAATGAAATATATAAAAACATTTAAAATAGACATTATTAAGGGAAAAAAATTGTCATTGTGTATTAAATACATGATAAAAAATTGCAAAATGTCAAATACATGTATTTGATTGCGGCACACCTATATCCTACTCATGGCACACCGGTTGCGGAGCACTGATGCATTAAGTTTGTCCACAGCAAAACATTCTTCAAAATGTAATGCTCAAAACAAAGTAAAGCAAGGTCACCTAGAATTCCAGTTTCAATAAAGTTAGTGCAGTTGATCTTTCTAAAACTTGAAAAGCAAGTACCTTTGTACACAGTCGAATTGAATCAAAACCAAGCTGTTTGGCACGTTAATCCCTTACTCAGCAATATTTTGCTATCATTTGTCAATTTTTATGCCATGTTGACAATATTCAGCAACTTTCTCTTTTATTTAGTGACAACTTTTCAAATTAACTGACTAAATAACAATAAGTGGTCACTTCCTGTTTTTATACAGAAACAGGTGCTACTTCGGCAATTTGAAAACATCACTTGAATGATAGCATTAACTTCATTCATATTAACACGACCTACTGTATTAACTTTTAGATATTCTACTGAATAAATCATTTTCCCTCCCATTCATACACACTCAAGATACTTTAAAAAGCTCAGAAGAAAGCTCATCTGCAGGTCCTAGCCTCAGAAAACTATCACACTACATAAATAAAACCATCTAAAAGTTAAATACATCCCATAATGGGAGAGACCAAGTTTATAATCAGGACAGCCAGATTTGCAAAAGTAAATTACAAGTCAAAATGTTTAAATATATGGATATACAGATGAAGGAAGAACAAATATTTGCTAGTATTGGAGTACATTACTGTAATTAAACCCAATAACAATTTATCGGCAATAGCAATTTTACCAATTTAAGGTTAAAATTTAATATATATCACATAGCATATACAGACAGACATTTCTGTTATGTCTTTTAGTAAATGCAGATCCAGGATTCATTCAATAAAATATGCTAGCACAGGAATACTTACTTGAATTTAGCATATGGGGCAAAGAGTTCAACACTAAAGGCAGAAGAGTTTTCCCACCTAATGAGCATGCTAAGCGATCCAAGCAAGATTCACCAACAATTGGCATACTGCAATTAAGATGGTAAACCAAGAAACATTAACATTAACCATGAAACAAGGTCTGGGAGAAAAGCAGATATTTGACAACAGTAAAACAGAAGCATAATTTTATATTCTTAAATTAAACTAAAAGAAAATTTCACTTCTTACCACATTATTTAATTAAAGGAGAAAAAAGACATTATGTAACTCTGTAACTCGATAAAAACCATTTCTTACCTTGTTATATGACTATTCCACGTTAATTTTTAGAAGTGACAGGAATATTTACATTATTTAAAATGATGCTATATAATATTACTATTTAATAATATACCATGTTTAATTTCCTTTATAATTTAACAATTATACATTAATTTAAGTTGTTAAAAGGGAAAACTTGATGCTATAAAACTAATTTTATAATTAAATTCTGCAGAATACAATCTCCTTGGAACTTTTGTTAAGCATTTAAGTTACGGTCAGCGTAATAATGATTTACAGTCTCCCATTACAAAAAGCATTTGTTTGGCCTTTCTCCATTTCTTCAAAACATGATAATGTGGATTATTTCTCTTTGGTAACACATAATTAGCTTGCCTTATTAGCGTATTTTGTGGAGCTATATATTACTTCTGTGTGATGATTTTTGTTTGTATCATTTAAGAAATTATGCATCTTTCTCCTCTTCTTTTTAACACCTGCAGTTCAAAAGAGTAAATATAATGAAGCAAAAGTATTATTACTGAATTGTATTTCAACTGATACACAATAACATTTCTCAATCAATTATCAAACCTTTTTTCTCCTTTAAATTTAACACTAAGATAAGTTCTGTACTCTTGCATTATCCACCCAACCCTCCTGCAAAGTTGTCAGTCGCTGCCAATTAACTTTTTCCCAACTTAACACATGAAAAAAGAGTAACTGTTTTAAAAAATGGCAGGGTGTTAAAAATGACATAAAACAGGAGCAAATTAATGAAATTAAAAAAAGCAAGCAAAAGCAACATCTATAATGAAATACAAAAAATTAAATCCAACAAACACCCACCATGAAACACTCAAGATTACATAAAACAGCATTGCATTAAATAGCACATTTTTCTTCATTAGCAGGAAAAATAAAGTGCCATTACGACTTATTTTAAGAAAAACATCTTCCACGCACTAATCACAAAGCACAGAATCCACAAATTTCACCAATTTAAAAACTGCATGCAATATCACCACCACAGAGATAGATGGTGACATTACGAGGTGGCAAAATAAGCACAAATAATTATTGGGTTGCCAGATAAATACACTTTTAGGTGGATAATGCCAACAGTACATAAATTACTCTCATTTATATGTATGGAAAAATAATAGCCCAAATACAGATGCTTCAAGAGATTTCACTTAAACATTTGATTATAAACTCTATAACACAAATTAAATAAAGCAGACTTGAACCTTTTTCCTCCCAGTTTATCATATGATATGCTTGTTTTCAGGCCCATACCACTTAGCCAACAGAACATTCAGCCGACACGGATACTTAGCTGACAGGGACAGTTAGTCAACAAGACATTTAGCCGATACAGAGAATTAGCCGTCGGGACATTTAGTCAACAAGGCATTAAGCCGACAATGATGTTTAGCTGACATGTACCCAATAAGTATTTAAACTTACTATCAATTACAAAATTTCTCGACAGCTTTTAAATCTTGTGTAATTTAGCACTGTTTGATACAGATCGTTCTGTTTGGTATATATTGGCCAATTTGAAATAGTGTTAAAATTTTTCTTCAGGAAATATGAATTAATTTTCAAAAGAAAAAAGAATTTTTTTTAGCTAGTTACAATGCTAAGTTAGTTACATTTTAATATGGAATCTGCAATAATTGTCAGCTCAGGCAGGCAACAGAGGTTCGTTGTGACAGGTTCCCGCGTGTGATCGCTAAATTATTAAATACCTGGACTAATGCGGTGTCGATTTTTGATTCTGCGCGAGTTCCGAATAATTCTTTAAAAGAATAAACACAAAGTCACAGTTCACAATAAAATTAGCAGCACGGGTAGCAAAGTCTGATAACATTGAAAACACATAAACAGCTGAATCGAGAATAACACCTGAAGCTGTCAGCCATTGAAGAGTAAGTGCGCAAAAACATAGGCATGATTAGCAATTAATGACAGTAAAAAAAATGCCTTATTTGCCAAAAACAGTTTCTGGATGAGCATGTGAGTGAACAATACAGATACCTAATAATTAAAATACATAGAAAATTATTATGCATAGCAAAGAGACAAGAACAAGAAGAGAAATAAATACATAAGAGCAATAATAAGATCGTTCAAAACAAAATTTAATTCAGGTGATGTAGTACTGCAAACTGATTTTCACAATTTTCTTTACTTTCATAGTCATGATTCAATACAGGAATTGTTCTGTTTGGCACTTCTGGGATTTTCATAAAGAATTTTTTGGCAATTTTCATCAACGTACAGCTGAATTTCAGGAATATTAACATTATCCACAAAGCTTCATTACCTTTTCATATCATTCATAATTTTTCTTGTGTACTTAATGATATTAATTTTCCAATCTCGCTCTTCCTAATGCTTTCAAATTTCTAATACCTTTACATTTCATTACTATTTTACTCAACACCACCATGCTACATTCCTTCCTTTATAAAAATCGTTTCTCTCCTCCCACTACCGAAATTATATTTCCCCTCATGAAAAATCTGAATAATGCAATAAGAATTATTTTTATTCTTGAATTATACTTTTTATAGAAACATTGGTTAGTTTAGCAAATATATTTTATTTTGTTATTAAAAACAGTTAAAAAAGAATTTTTAAGACAAGCAGTGCCTTAAATTACTTGTAACCTCTATAATCGGCAGTTCATGCCACCATTCTTGAGATAAACATTAACAACTCTCATAATGTCAAGGTAACTGACCTGTTTTTGGTCACCTCTGCATCGCTTCCATCTTTCGGAATCCAGCTTTTACCGTTGTGCCATATACTCATGTGATGGTTACAGCTGCATTTCAACAGAACTCATAACGTCATTGCAATACATCAGTTATAATCAGCACTAGCCTTTGTAAACATTTTTACATAACACTTTTCGCCATACTGAAACAGCTGAACAATACTTCAGTATTCAAATTTTAAACATTTTTCTCATTTGATTTCAACGCATTTTTAAAGGTCTAGCTTAAAAAGGTAATTTTCATTGGAACAAACTGGTTACATATTAAGTAAAACAGTCACTCTCTTTCTGTTAGGCCCAGGAGCAGCCGAGCGGTAAAGTCACCGAGCACTGGTAATTCGGTCTGAATTTCGAATTGAGTGAATGGACTAGCTGCATGGGCGTTTTCGTGGTTTACCACATGTGTAATGTGTATATGAGCCAGTTTTTCTCTCCACTAAGGTATCCCTTCCCTTAGGCAGATAGCCCTCTGGCTTTGTCATTATTACATAACCCAAACAAATTCCAACCTACTTCTGTTAGGTGGCTGCAGGCCACGAAGCACAAATTCCTAGGTCAGAGCTCTCTCAGATTAATAAATATACGATGCCTAACGTGCAAATAGCATTTCAGAAAATAAAAAAATAGTAGTTCAAATGCGGCAAGGAGTAAGGCGAATCATGCTACTTCCTGAGAAGGAAAGAAAATTTCATTAATAAGAAAAGCGAAACTTTATACGGGAATTAATGTAGCATGATCTGTTGAGCAAAGTAGGAATGAAATGTGAAAATATTAGAAACCTGAAATCATTGGGAGCAGTGAGACTCACTGTCAGCTAAATGTCCTGTCGGCTAAGTGTCTGCGACCACTTGTTTGTTTCCTTCTGTGGGCCCACTGTATTAAGTATGATGTGCGGAACGAAGTGTCACTCGTCCCCACAATATCATAATTGATACTCTGAAACAATGTTTTATTTTAAATGTGTATAAATCATGCCACAATGCTATGAAACCTTACTGAATTAAGTATCTCTTGTTATGAATACAGTACAAAGTCCATAATCCGGACTTGTTGGGACATCGGAGATTCCAGATTAGGGGTTTTTCTGGATTATAGATCATCAATTTAAATCTGGTAAGATGGCATGATGCAATTAAAAATATGAAATCGTAATTTATTAAATAAAGAACAATTATGATCTAAAGGGTATCAAAATTTACAAAAAAAAAACTTTATATTTATTTGTTTACTTTATTAAGGTAAACAAATAAATATTAAGCTTGAAACCTTTACATTGATTTTAATGAGGTTTCTTTCAATGTAAGTTGCTTACCCCGCTTCCACAAATAATTCAAAAAGTTCCCTTTTTCTTGTATCATATATAGTAGACTTCCAATGCCATACTTCTCGCATAATGTTGAGACGGATAGGCCTTTATCCATTTTTCGCAGCAATTCCACTTTTTGTGCATGCGTAAACGCATTAATGCAGTTACGCATGCGCATAAAGTTTGTAGTTTTGAGGTCCGGATTACAGACTTTGTACTGTATTATATAATATTTTATCCTATGAATGTAAAACATGCTTTCATAATTTAGAAATGTTTCACTTAGTGCAAATGACTTTTTGTATGTAAATATGGCAACAGGATATATTAATCACTGATACTTAAATTCTGAAGTTTTGCCTCCTCATTATTGTACAGAAATAATGCAAAAAGAGTAATTACTACTATTAGGATTTTGTATTTATATGATACAACACTTAAATAACATGAGCAAGGTTCCAAAAATTACAATGAAAAGCAGTTTTTTTTTTTAAGAATTATTTTTTACTATTAGGCATGATTGCAAAAAACGCTCAGTCACACAGTAACATCTAGCGCTTCAAGGTAATGGGCACACAAGGAACTTTGATCTCTCGATGCTGACAGTACAGAGGTTAAGGTTTAGTGAAACAACACATTTCAATAAAATTATCGAAAATCCAGATTTTAAAAAATGCTTTCTATGTAGCATATTCCACTGAGCAAGTTGCTCTTTTATTCTTTTAAATATCATTACAAATGGAGGTTTATAACATACAAAAACTGTCATAAAAATGCTAAAAATTGTGAATACAATCACTTTCGCAAAAAGAAACAGAAAATCATCAATTTTAAAAGACTATTATGAAGGTTGTTCAGTAAATTTGAAGACCAAGTTTAAATACTTATGAGACAAGAAAACATTACGAAATGATTACATTATCATTTAGGAAGTATAAAAAGGGAAACATATAATGCTGCTGCAATTTTTAATTTTTAACAGGCTGTTAAATTTGTCAATACTCACTTAAAAAAAAAAAAAAGCAAATAAAGCTTGTGTATTTATTTTATTTTTAAAAGGCAAATTAACACTGCCCTGCACTACTACAAGGGCCAATAACTTTCAAGAGGTCAGAACTCAAACTAAGGAACACACATGAAAATGCTGGGCTAATTACCTTGAAGGGCTTACAACTGATGATACTTCTATCAGCAGAGTCACTTCAAGGCTTAAAAGATGCTACACTAATATTCCATCCCTTAATGGCCCTACAGGGATTGTATACACAGAAACTAATAACACTCTCTAGCCGATTACTATGCTACTCAGTTTAACACCAACAATATTTCTCACACCCATACAAAACTCTCTGACACAATAACCTAATTCCTAACACAACCACACACTCACAACATCATGGTAGTTAATCCATCAGATGTTCTTGGCTATATCGAAAAATTCGAAGATAAAAAGAGCCCTGTGCATGATAAAGTCACTAATATTATGATTAAGAAGATGGGACTCTCGATGATCTGCAGACTCATCAAAATTATTCAACATATTATCGACCTTGAGTTATTTCACACTTCAAAAGAAAATTGCAATAATTTCTCTAATTCCTAAACTTGGCAAATCTCCAAACCAATTGTATTCGTATCGACCAATCAGCCTTCTGCCTAAATGTAGTAAAATTGCAGAATTCTTAATATTTAAAGCCCTCAACAACTTTGCAGAAAAACCAGGAATTTCAATACCACAGCAATATGGATTTAAAAGCAAGCACTCCACTGTGCATCATCTCTACAGTTACTGAATTAATCTCTTCTGGACTGAAACAAAAACTCAGCAATATTTCTTGATATATTTGGTGTTCGTGTTTGGCTAGGTGGACTCATATATAAATTTATCTCTCTGGGTTCCCCAGAGTGTAACATTACTCTCGACAACGTACCTATGACAATTTAATTAATCTGGTGAAAGTTAAATAGTCCAAAACTCATGACAGACATGAAGCAAATTATTTCCATATCTGAAAGCAACTACAAAGTCAGATAAAGGTTTAAATTTACTAACAAAGAACTTAGAACATAAAGACACATTCTTATGCTCAACAAAATCAACTATAGCTCATGATGATGCAACTAAACAGGAACGGTCAAATTCAAAGAAAAAATGTGGACTAGTATACAAAGATTACACAATTTAGTTTTACTTTAAGCTTGTTTAGTAACTATCGAGGAAATAAATTCAAATGCTGGCAGTGATAATGCAAAGATGAATAATTACAAATTATCAAAGATACGAGAAACTAATGCAGTGTCCAAGCAAAGGTCAGAACACATCCTCTCTTACAATCCCAAAACTTCAGTTAAGAACTATCTAACTGATTTGTGTTCTGGTTAGGAAATGGAATGAAAAATTTAAGTAAAGGCAGAAATTATAAACTGGTTAATTTACATAATAATAACTGTACATATCTTTGATTAATAACTTTTTTCTAATTATGTATTCAGTTTATTTCTTCAATACATTACCTCTTCATTTTAGAATTTTCTGATTTAAGGAAATATCTCTGCTATTCTAAAAAGGTAAATGCATTCAGGCTGGACAGAAAAAGCTGCTAATTTTATTCTTCCAGTAGTAATATGAAAATTCAGAATTTAGTGACACACCAAAAAACAAAATCTAGAAATCTTTAGGGCAGACACTGGAAGCAGAATTTGGGAATGCATTAGGCAGCAGAATTTATGACCCACTGAGATTGCATCACGTGGGAGTGCCGCCAGCCCTGTGTTTGATGCATTGAGACATACAAGATAAATTATTAAATTCCTCAGTTTCCAATTTCTGTATTAACAGAAAAATTCCTTTGTATAAAATGTCTGTCCATGTGATAAGATTAGAAGAATTTCTAATATTTCCCATGCCTGTGTCTCGTGAAAAGTAGAGAAAATTAAGGGAAGAAACATGTTAAGAAAAACACTTCTGGTATCAGAAGTAAAATTCAAATATTATGTTTTCACTGTTCTTCCAAAAATACTCCAAAAAGTAAGAAATTTTTGTTGTTTGACTTCTAAATTAATCCTGTTGACATTTTCCATTGCATCGCATTTTTCTGGAATCTTCTACAAATATCTATAAATCTTGCTTTCAGATCCTTCTAAACTTTCCAAGTTGCATTGTCTAAAATTCTACAGAAATATTACTTCTACCAATTCTGTAACAGCAAAAAAGCCAGATATACTTTGAAGGGAAAAAAATGTAAAACTAATTTTATAAAGACAACTGATGCACATTCCGAGAATTCTGAATTTTCCGAGATACATCGGAAAAACTCTTACCATGAAAAAATAAAAAAGAACACATTTTTATTTAATTACATGGCTATTTTGCTAAGAATTGTCATAAATTGTAGCATTTTTTACCTCTTTTTTTTTTTTTTTTTTTTTTTTAAAGATTCAAAATATTGTACAAGTTTCCAAAATGGAAAGCAAGTTCATTTCATAATATGACAACGAAAAATTAAAATGTTTTATTTCAGCATTATTTCTTAATATAATTTCAATGTATTCTCATCATTTTAATGTAATTTATCAATGTTATAAACCTTAAAAAAAATCGACGAGAAATTCCCTGGTCTCTGAATTAAAAAATTCTTTATGGAAACTGATCTTAAAACCCCCAAAATGTTAATAAGTCACCAAATTTAGAGGCGTTTAAAAAAAGAATTTACATCCCCTCAAAAAAAGTTGTTTAAGAGTTCAGCATTAGGAAAAATGAAATAATTTTGAAATGTTTATACAGTACAAAGTCCGTAATATGGAGTTGTTGGGACTTTGGCAATTCCAGATTAAAGGCTTTTCCGGATTATAGATAATTTAAATCTGGTAAGATGGCATGTAGAAATTATAAAATTAAAAATACGAAACCATAATTTATGAAATACAGAGCAATTGTGATCTAAAGGATATCAAAATTGACAAAAAAATCTTAATATTTATTCGTTTACTTTATTAAACATTTCTTTCAATGTAAGTTGCTGCTTTTTTTTTTTTTTTTTTTTTTTTTTTTTTTTTTGTGCTAAACGTGCATGAGTAAACATTAAACGTGCATGCGTAAAGCATACAAAAAAAAGTTTGTGGCTTTGAGGCCCGGATTATAGATCATTCTGGATAATGGACGTCCGGATTACAGACTTTGTACTGTATTTCGCTTCTTACCCAGAAACTCAAACTTCCCACCATTTGTAGAAACGTGAACAAATTATAACTTATGAAACCATTCACCCATTCAAAAAAATAACCAAATTTGTCACTGAATCGCCAAAAATGTTCTTCCAAAATGCTGATTCACACTCAAAATAGCAGTCGTAAAAACAGAGAGAAATTTCAGATCATTAAAATTAAGGACTTTCTGACTTTTAAAGAAAAATGTCGATTCCAAAAACCTAAGGACTGTACAAACCCTGAAGCAGCATTTTATTTAAAATGTTGTTTAAAAAGAGTCTTTTCGATCATTTCACAGGAAATAACGAAAAATTTCTTAAGGATAAACAGCTATTTTCCAGTTCTCAATTAAAAAAATAATAATCAAATCAAAAAGTATAACAGAATAGAGTGGAATCTCATATATTCATTCCAGGAAAAAAAAAAAAAAAAAAAAAAACGGAAACAATTCATGATGGTATGAAATTCTAAAAACTTTAGTTGAGGTTCGATAATTAAAGCATCCTAAGGGTAGCTTTGTGGACAGCTTTCTAAGGAAAATCACGAAAACTCCCATGCAGCCAGATTTGAAATTTCCGATAAAAAGCTTCCCACTGAGACACCTTACCACTGCACACATTGCAGCTAGGGTGCAACCCACTTGTTTTATCTTTAATACTTAACATTGGGAAGCAGTCAATATTTAGCACAAATATTTACTAATCCTTTTTGACTAATACACAGGGAGGGGGATCAGGCTTCCTTAAAGAAAACAGCATTCCTCAGTTTGATAAATTATATTAAATATCTAAACCAACCTGTCATTATCAGTATCTTCTTCCTCTTCTGCAGCTCTCCAATTGTCATCATCCTCAATGTCAGTCATCATCTTGAATATTATACTGACTAAAGGAAAAAAATACATAAATAAGTAAATACATTAGCACATCGGAAAAATACACGTTTCCTCATAAATTCAAATAAGGATATCAAGAAGGTACCACACAATTTCTATAAAAGAAAGATGCAAATTACTTAGTATTACAATTTACACTTACCATTAATTGAGGAAAAATCACAAAAATGACTAATACTCAAAAAGTTACACATAGAATTTAATGAAACTGATGCACAGTACACAACACAAAGTAAGGTAACAAATAACATGAAGAGAAATTACCAGACAATTTTGGCGTTACAGAAATTAACTGAAGTATAAAATGAGCAATTCAGATGTGCCAGTTTGGTATAGGAAAATTACCTTTAGTATGGAGTAAGATCTCACTTAGAAGGGACACAGCACATACAGTGATGTGTGCTGCCATCAATTATGCAGTTTATCAGTTCTGTAGGACGTGAGAACCATTGCTCTTGCAAAGCAGTTGCAAGTGCAGCAAAGGTCTGAAGAAAAAGATTAAAAGCAGCTTATATGTCTTCTTAAAGAATCTCAAACATACTTGATGGCATTCAGGTCAGGTGATCAAGCTAACCACTCCATGCGCAGAATTGTTTGCTCCTGAAGATAATCATCCACAAAGTGAGCCCTGCGCAGTGTAGCATCATTGTCCTGTAGCAGGAAATCATCACCTATTGCTCCAACTATAAGAGCACACATAAGCATCACAAGGATGTCTATGCTATAGAACTGAGCATTCATGGTTCCACGTCAAAAGACATGGAGGCCCGTACATTCACTCAAACACAGACATTGCCTTTTCCATATGAATCTCTTTCATGAATGTTTCATGGATGATAATGGGTTCCATGTCAAATGAAATTAAGCCTACTTGCTTTGAGGCTAAACCTAGACTCATCCATAAAGAAAATAATCCTCCACTGATTAACAATCCAGTGGATATGTTGACATGTCCATCCGAAATGTTCCCTTCTATGATGTGACATGAGTGGCATGCAAATGGCTGGTCACTTCAAGCACAGACCTCCTTCGTGAAGCCTTCTACACCTAGCTGATGTTGATACCAACCTTTTGATGGCTACACCAATAAAGGATCTGAGTCGAGTTAGAGATGAGGTTCTATTCTTTTGTGCGCACTTGCACCAACAGACATAGGTCATTGGCGCTCGCAGTCGCAGTTCGCCATCCTTAGCTGAACCTCTTGAATTCCAAACCTGTGGTTAGAAATTGCTGCCAACCAGAGAATGAGTCACATTTACCACCTGGCTACTTCAGCTTTTGTCCAGCCACTAGTCTCCCAATAGCTATACGTCACAGTTCTTGTCACCTAATGATGCCTGGAGGTCATTGTTACAAATTGGCCACCCCAGACTTCTTATCTTAGCATCTCAGTGAAATTTACAGGCTTGCTATGAAACATGTAATTTTATGCTCCCTCACAGATGACGTGTTTCAACTGCAGTGCTACTAATTTGCCTACTGCAGTTTTATTCGGCAATTCTTGCAACATGGTCAAACAACATGGTCAAATTTTATATGTATTGGCTTATTTTTGGACAAGTTGTCGCTACTTTTCTGATTTTTCCTTAGTTTTTGGAAACCTGTATTTCCTTTTCATATAAAACTCACCAAACCAAAATTTTTCTTAAACTTCTTTTAGAAATAAATAAATGTAGTTATCATATTTATAATAAACAAATGACCCTACTTTGCCTCAAAGGAGTAATTCCACTATATTCTGCTCTTTGGTTACACATCTGAAAAGCACCCTCAAAAAATACATTTTCATATCACAGTTATTTTATCAATCAATAATATCTTTTAAAAAAGGCTCGGTGAACAAATCTAAAAGGAATGAGTGATTGAGTAAATATGGTATGGTGTGACAACACGCTACTTAGAGCAGATGCAGGAGGTGTTGAATTATGACCCTCAGGCAGGTAGTGTGCAAGTCAGCAGAAACACATGCTTGATATATGTGCAACAAATCATGCATCTCGAACGGTGAGGAAAGTTGTAAGTGTGGTTTGGTGGGTCAGCATTGTGTTAATGGTGCAGTAGCTTATCTTTGTTGTTAAGACATAGGCATGGCCCAGTTCTTGGAAACTGTGCAAATTCGTTTACGACATAATTCGATGGAGTTACAGTAAAGGCCCCATACAAATCAGAAGTGCAGAAACTAATTGCAAAATAGGCCAAAAGTGAATTCAAGAACTGTCCACATTGAGGTAAAGGTGGGCAATGCAGCACACCTAATGATACATGTTCCACAAAAAAATCTTGTTTGCAGAACAGGTGTCTCAGTCAGCAACTATGCAGATCCTGAACTAGGATTTGATTTTGTGTGCACTAAAAGTTATCATGATGCATTAGTACCAGGATGTGGACACTACAACTCGCATTCAGTTTCATGAATGGTTTCTGGTCAGTATATCTGTGAAGGTGCTGCAGGATATTTACTCGTTCATTTCCAATGAAACATAGTTCCATCTGTCAGACGACAAACTTCCAGAACACACTGGTGAAGTGACAATCCACACATGTACATGGAGATTCTACTGCACACTAAAACTTGTCATCCGGTGTGCTGTGTCACTACACTGTCTATCGAGTCACATGATCATAATTTTCAGACTGTATTAGCTATTTAATTATGCTGATATTAGTTTTTTAATGTTCAATAAATATACTATTTAAGACTTTGCATCTTTATGATATTTCTTATTTGAAATTTTTGCACTGAAATTATACTGTTGCTTAGTAGTATAGTAATCTTTATTCTTTATTACTACTTTTTACTCGTACTGGTTTGATTTTAATGACATTATTATCTATTTATTCATTAATAAAGGTTTTGATTTAAAGCACAGTAGTTACTTATCTTTTCTGAAACATGGTTTTTTAATTATTTCAAGATTTAAGTGCACAAACATGAGTGCCTGAAAATGAAATTTAAAAATAAATGAAATGATATAAAGAGTAATCTGTGTACTCAGTACACAAAGAAAATCATATATATATATTTTTTTTAATTTTGCTGCAAACTAAATTTAGCAAAAAATCAAAATCACGTGGCACCATCTGTAAATATTTTCCGAATTGTACCGTGTCTTCAATGCGCAACTCCCGGAGCAGGGTATTACGAAGACACCATGGATTTCTCGTCGTTTGACCCAATTTCTGGTCCCAATGCATTTCCTCCCCCCCCTTCAGTAGCAGTAGCTAAGTTCAAAATTGCAGCTGTATCTATAGTAGCAATTTAAAGTAAAATAGTCATCCATTATTTTGACTATCTGACAACACCATAAACTTTGTTTACAAATTGTAGACAGTGTGACGCTGTAGAGGGCGGGAACACTTCCTTTCGCAGTGATTGGCTGAGACGCAAGCTATCTCAGATATTGTCGGCCAGCTAAGTTGGCTGAGGAAATCGCTATGTGTAGACGGGCCTTAAGAAAAAATGCTGCACAATATGAGTATGAAAAGTACTTGAATGCCTTTAAGAGATTCTCAATTTTTCACACTTAAAAAATTTTCAAGTCATTTCGTCAAATCCCTATATATATCATTACAACGTACAAGTTAGTTATTAGTTTTAAATATTTATTTTTCGCAAGCAAACTTATTAAATTTATAGTTGGCACAGGAGTCTCTCACTTTTACTTACTCAATGATGGTAAATGTTTACTTCCTAATTTCCTAATCATACCAGGTGCAGTTTCTGTTAGTGTCACAACAACTTCAAGACAGAGAATACGACAAGATTCAGAGCATGAAATACTGCATGAACCCTATAAAAAATATAAAAAAATAATTAATTAATGGAAACTCAACTCGATGATACGAAAAGGATGATCATAGGCTAGGTGATATTTTTTTTTTTTTTTTTCTTCTTAAATCCAGAAGAAAATTATGCCAACTATTTTCAAGACAATAAGTAGATATAAAACTACTTACTCTGAAGAACCTTCCATGTACAAGTATTTTAAGAGCAAACACACTTGACCTTTGCATTCTTAGTAACATTTCTTAATAAAACTAATTTGACAGAACAGGATTTTTTTCCCAAGAAAACAGCATTAAGATGAGAATACCAAACAATTTTCACCATATAACTTACATAATTACTACTATGCAAAAATCAAACATTAACACTTCCCCCCCTTAAGTGTTTGGTAGTCTAGAAAGAATTCATCTGCATTTCTGTGCTCTTTCATCTTTTGGCAAGTTATTTTCTTGCTACATCTTTTCTATGGTCTATCAAGCATTTCCAAGAGGTAATTTTTTTTCATTAGAAAGTTAAGATGATTACATGCAAATACAATTCAAACTACAGCTCCAGAGATGCATATATCAAACTTTAAAACCACTACTAAAATACTAAAGTCCTCTCTTTGAATAACAGGCCATACATTCTGACAAGGAAACAACCATTTACTGAAAAATGAATCAGAATGTCAGTTCCCATCTATCTGGAAAAGGCAAGCTCCAACATTTAACACAGAAATATTAATATTACGTAGGGTGTCGCATCTAAAATACAAACTCTGAGACAAATACTTCTAGATGCTTTCTGTTCACAAAATAGAATAAGAATCTATAAGAGAATGTCCTATCAGAAGCTGTTTTTAATATATAGAGGATAACAAAAAAATTTTGCCGTTTTGGACAGTGAGAAAGAAAAAGTCATAAAACAAATAATAATTAGTTCAAAACCAAAAAGAGTAATCACCATTGGCACCCGGTGCCTTTTGCCAACGAGTGGCTAGCTGTGTGATGCCCATCACGGTAAAACTCTCTGTAGTCTTGGACGTAAAGAAAATCCATGAGGGCCTTTTCGAGATGTGGCTGGTTGTTGAAGGGTTTTCCATGACCATGATTGTCCAGTGAATGGAAAAGGTGGTGGTGAGGTCTAAGGAGAAAGTATGGTGGATGGGGTAGTCTCCCAGCCAAGTCGCTGGATGTTGTCCCAGGCCTCGAGAGCCACATGTGGCCTTGCATTGTCATGGAGGAGGAGTAAACCCTTACAGTTGACCAATGCTGGCTCTATGCATTAATGCTTGATGCACATGTTCCAACTGCTATTAGTACAGACTTGCTGTGATGGTTTGACCCACTGGCAGGAGCTCATAGTGCACCACTTAGCGAATAGTCTAGCAGATACAGAACATGATCTTGTATGGGTGGAGAGAAGGTCTTGCACTGTGAGGCACTAAGTTCCGTGGTAGCAACCAATGTCTGGAACACCTTGGGTATGTTATACTGGACCCACGTTTCATTGCTGGTGAGTACTGGATCAAATAGGGATGTATTGTGGTGCCGAGTAAACAATGACGAACAGGCAGTGACACACTGTTACTTGTTTGTATCAGACAATGGAGGTTTTTGATTACCTTGTACTTTACAGTTGAATAATTAATAAATGAAGATTATTATTAACGGAACAACTTGTCGTTAGTTGCCAAGCTCATGATGCATAGCCAAATATGTATAGTCAATGATAGCTAAATTTGATGATGATAGCCGCTAATTTTAAAGGTTTTCAGATATTGCAAAACAAAGGTGAAATATTCCAATTAACTGATTTTGTAAAGAAATGTGGAGAAGTGGTAAGCATAACTTTTATTACTATAACAGGAGTTGTTTTCTCCAGGTCATTAAATTTCATGTAATATTACTGCTAGAATATAGTTTCACAAGTACGCCAGAGAAAATTCCCTGAAATTTGAGATTATTAAGTAATAATAAATAAATTTAGAAGGAAGAAAGCACATTAAAATAAAGTTAATTACTTAAGGATTAAAACCTTATTTACAAAAAATCGATGTTATTTTGGATAATATAGATATATTAAATGGTAAGCCTAGACGACTGGTTATTTTTGTTGTTATTATTTTACTGCAAAATGAAAAATAAGGCATTTAAGAAAGAAGAAAAGGTTTAAAAGATTTTGTTTTATACGAGTACGGGGGGATTTACTTTCGTTCAACATGTACTGCACATGCGAATCTCTGGATTCTCGATGTTACTGGAAATCAAAGATGCAGGAAACTTTCTTTGCCTTTCTAAAAGACAATCTGACTGGCGCTGCGAAAACTGGCTCTACACCTGTCCGAGTGACGCTCACGCGATACATGATTTGCCAAGAATGTGATTGCTTTCGATGTTGGCACAAAAATTGCTTTTTGGAGGATCGCAATGAATTTTCCAAATTTAGACAAAAATATTTAAATTTCCTCACTTCTTCGGTCAATTTTCAAATTTCTCGGTGTTCCAGGTAGTGTGGCAACTCCGTATATAGAGAAAAATGAAAGGGGGTTAATGAAGAAAATCATTCTTTTAATAGGGGTCTGCAAAGAAAAAGTTTGGGAATACACGAACTAGATTATTGCACCACTGTATTTAATTTTGCATTAGAACATTATTTCCGACTCCATGCGACTAATTTTACAAGATACATTTTGTATTTTATCAACATTTGAAAACTAAAAATTGTTTCCTCTACAGGAATTGTACATATTAGTGTCTCATATTTCTGCCAATGTAGTAGCTACTGCCACAATGCTAAGAATGACAAATACTGGAGATGGATTTCAGGGAAATAATGTAGCAGAAAACTCTTGACAGCTGATTTCAAGAATGCCTTCCTGTACAATTACTATACTTCAGGTCAACCTAAGTTGAGAACACCGGATATAGTAGAAAGTGTATGCGTCTGCCGTAGAATATAGTTCTACCGTTTCGAGAAGTAATATTGTAAAAATTACACAGTGATATATGAATACTGTTGAACAAAGAGAACGGAAGGAAAAAATAACTGAAACGATAGATTACGTTGTGTCCAGCTTTTTGTTTTAAAATTTGCTAAATCGTATCAATCATTCCATGACCAGCAGGAAGACATCCTTTTTTTGGGCATTATTGGCGAAACAGCAAATTCCAGCAACCCCGACCTCACCACACTCTTGACGAGAAAAGCAATTAAGGCATTCATTCATTTACTAACTGGGAGGAGAAAAGCAATTGCTATGGTATCTGCTTCATCTTCGACATATGTGTATAATTTTCAAACTCATAAAGCTGAATAAACAGTACAGCTAAGATTATCGTAATGAATATTTTTGTCAATTACCAGAGGGCATTTTCCTGATAAATACGATAACGATATTATTACTTGTTATAATCTTTGCGGGATTGAATACCTCAGTTAAAAAAAGCCCTTTCCAATGCCACAAATTAAAAATACAGGAGTCGTTTATAACACAAAAAAGAGGGGGGGGCAGACCTGTAAACAGTTATAAAAAGCATTATAAATACAAGCTAACAAATCCCTTAGAAAATATAAAATGGAAGTGTCGCACCAGTAGCTGAGTGGTTAAATCGCTGAATCGTTTGAGCGCACGCGAACGGGCTGTATTCATAGTCGGTTTTGGTGGTTTTCTCATGTGTAACGTGAATATGAGCTTGTTTCCTTTAGGAAGTCCTCCACAAAATGCATCTCACCCCTTAGTCGGATATCTCTTGTGTGCTGTGCTATATTCAAATCACCTAACCTAACCAATACGGAAATACTGATCAATAAAATTAACTATGGTAGAATGAACAAGGGTTTCTGCCTAAAGGAAGAGATGGCTTCATGGGGAATTTACAAGGGTAAAGGACTTTTTTTTATATAACGTGCTGAGGGACTCCTATGCAGTTCAGAGCTTACAAAAGTCACTACAAACGAACTCTCTGCATACTACCAATGTTTCACAGCTTAAGCAACTCTATCATTAATGGGCTTCACTTGCAGATGACTCCATCTAAGGAAAGGAATAGCCAGATGTTTTGCTAATGATATGCTTGTTGTTTTTATACCTCAAAGAAAATGTATGGTTTTTGCCTAACTTATACATTCACTGCATTAACTCTTAACCCTTTCTGCATAAACTCTTAAAAATTAAAAAAAAAAAAAATAACTTACTACCAGATTTTCCAAATTTATATATTTTACTTTTAATTATGCGAATGGTCTTGGGGAAAAAATTTGACCCAAACTGCAAGGAATGCATTGTTAGCTCTTCCAGTTTCAAGTTTTAAAAATCATCAAATTAGTATTCTCACATTTAGATAATAGTGAAATATTTCACACAGATTAAGAAAATGAATAACATGCCCTACATTTTACACAATGATGAACTATCAATAACAATTACAGCTTCACTGCATAAAAAGATTGCTATTTAAACGCTGGATTTGGCAAGAAGTCGCCAAATGTGTAGCGAATTAGAGGAATTAAATATCCGCGGGCAGTTTACTGCGTATGGATAACTTGAAGAACAGGGTGAAAAGCTGTGAAAAGGTCGTTCTAGCTTTGCATGTGTTCTCAGGTTAGCTTGTCGCAAAGTATAGTTTATTTTCCACTTTAGAACTTGGATTCTCCCCCGAGGAGGTGTGAGCGATAATTAATGGCAAATATTCCATTATGATATTCAAGGCATTTAGCAAAGATATCAAGATAAATGGGAACCTAACGTAATGGGTGACTACTACTGATTTTGCATTAAAAGTTACGCCATCAAAAAAGCAAAAAATAACTATAAATGTTGAGAAATATTTCTCATTTTTATAGCTTCCAATATCTATCTTTAAGTTTAACATTAGCACATACATTATGCATTACAAATTCTACAATTCTTTTACAATATATGTGAATATTTCCATTTGGAATGCAACATATTAAATGAAGCCTAAATATCGATATGGGTTAGGTTAAATGAACATGCCAAGCATATAAGGGCTATCCACC